CTTTGTCCCATCTGGGAGGTAGATCGTCACTGGAATGAAAGAACATTAATAGCGAATCTTTAAATAAGATTTGATGAAAAGTGCCAGGGTTCAATGAAACCCAAAGGGAGCTAACTGGCTATTATAGACTATAACTAAATATGCAGCCTCCATAAATTCAAATGTCGACACCTTTTATAAGTACTGGTCAAGTTGCCATTTACTTTTTCGTTAGATATTATAAATTGTAATGAGTATACACTACTGTAAAAATGCAACAAACAAAAAAAACAATATGAGGAGTGTGCAGTGTCTTGGCTGCTTGTATGCGTGACAAGCTGTGGCGATACACCAAGACAGCAGGACACAACTAATGGAGGCCCTAGGGGATGGTGGGAGGCGGACACTACACAACCACAGACAACTAGTGATGTGTACTGTAGGATCACGAAGAATGACTTTACTGCAATTCTATTGACGTATCCATCCTAATGAGCACCCTAAAAGGCGAGATAGTGTAGCTTCAGAAATAGGATAAAGTAAACATCTCACCGAGGTTTGACTGCCACTTACTTTGCAGAATGTATTTTGCTTGAGGTTTAGACAATGTATACTGGACAAAAATAGTTAGGGATATATGTAAATTTTGAAATTATGAACAATGATCTATTTATTCATTGACATACTGATAAAATATCAATTATAAAAATACCAATATCCCTAACGTATTTTGTCCAGTATACATAACTTTTCAGGATATGTAAGCGTCAAAGAATACTTTCGTTAGTAAATGTACGATGCCAGTCTCGAGGTCGCGACTGTACAAACTCACTTTATGAATTTGTTTTGCTGGTATTGGCTTTGGAGCTGAACTGTGTATTTCATTTGTGTCGCTCCTATCATTAGAATCCGATGTATTTCATATGTGAAAGAAATACGATTATGAATATTGCTTTACACACGTCTCAAGGGAAATATGATTTATTGCTTTTGTCGCATTAGGTTCATCATGTGGGATCATTGTCTGAGTGGTCCTGCTACTGATTGGGGGAGGATGGGACAGTAATGGCGGAAATATGAGAATATCCCGACAGACAGGCAGATCTGTGAATTAATGTTCGATATACTTTAGCTTTGTCCGTTTGTTTTGGAAGTTTGAATAGCATTGTGTGATTATTTTCCTCTGACAAAGATTATTTGCAATTGAGAACCTGCTGGGAATATTGAGCAATAGATTTACTTTAACACATTTATGGAACAGTTAGCCAACAGAAGTACTTCAGTAGGGTTTCAAGCATCAAATACATATCGTTTTAACACAGAATGTGTGTGTGCGCGAAGGTGTGTGTGTGTATGCGCGCGCGAGTGTGTGTGTGTATGTGTGTGTGCTCTATCCGTAGGTGCATAGGTACGTGGGTAGGTAGGTAGATGCATAGGTATGTATGTATGTATGTATGTGTGTGTGTGTGTGTGTGTGTGTGTGTGTGTGTGTGTGTATGTATGTATGTATGTATGTATGTATGTATGTATGTATGTATGTATATAATTTAACTACTGAATACATTGAACTGAAAATACTCATACGACTTCACTGGGTTCACTCACAAAGGAAGTCGGATTGAAAGTAAAAACCTTCTCATATCACATTGGATCTTGTTATTACCAAAAGAACAAGACCATATATAGTATACTCCTGTCATAGGCATTGATCTGCCATTATCCGTCAGCTCGGAACGAATATTCCATAAGTACTTCCTATTTCCATAGCAATATCCTAATTTTCTAATCTCAAATATCTGATTTAAGAAACACATTCCATGTAAAGAAACAATAAGGCATCAGTGGAGATAGGCTATTGTTCCGTTTCGTTTACTTGGAGGATGGGACCCGTGAAGGTCCGGGCTAGAATGAGCCTTCAGTAACCAATGGTTGACATAAGAGGCGACTAACGGGATCGGGTGGTCAGGCTCGCTGGCTTGCTTGACTGACTGACTGACTGGCTGAATTTGGTTGTTCGCCGCTTTAAGCAATATTCCAGCAACATCACGGCGGGGGACACCAGAAATGGGCTTCACGGCTTGATTGACACGTCATCGGTTCCCAATTGCGAAGATCGATGCTCATGCTGTTGATCACTGGATTGTCTTGTCCAGACTCGATTATTCACAGACCGCCGCCATATAGCTGGAAGGTTGCTGAGTGCGGCGTAAACCTAAACTTACTCACTCACTCACTTGGAGGATGCAAAACAAATCCCTTGCAATGTCTTTATTTCAAAATGAATTATTAACCACTTGCATGGCCTTAGTACACTTTGAATGATTATAAAATATAATTAACAACGATTTATCCAGTAGAACCTAATGAGACAAACGAGAAAAAAAGAAACAATCACCTTCGTAGAATACCGAAATGTTAATACATTACAAATGGGCAACTTGTTCTGAGAATTTGCCCATTCTGTTGTTACGTTTCTCGTTAAGATTGCATGACAAACACAACACACACACACCTCAATGCGATACCTGTGTTGGGGATGTGCCGTTTTATTGTGCCTGTGCTCTGATTTGATCTCGGATGGGTTTGTTTTGGTAACGAAATAATATGTTAGATTTATGCATAATATTCCTTGTTTTGCTATTACACTATATGTGGGTATCCAGGTCCGAGACGCTCGGTGGTGTTATGGTGTATGTTCTTAGCAACCTCAGGCAAGGAGGTCAACATAACCTACCTTATGACCTACTTTCAAGAGTGCGTGCACTGACATTACGTGTCAGCTCATAGCAATACTACATCCCTGATGACTGCTGATCGCTTCCAGTGCAATGAATGTGTTGGATCTTTAGCTGAGTTGGCAAGTGCAAGAGACCCCGACTCTTTGTGATCCCGTCTGCTAAGCCTATTCTCATCCTGATAATCTCAACAACGCCTGAGATGATCAGGTGGATTATCGATCCTGAAGCGGCTGCCGTTGTTTAAAGGGATAAACAGACTACATGACGCTCAGCTAGAAATAAGAATATCTTATTGTTTTAGATACCACACTGTATTCAGGTAATAACTTACTGACAAAGAAGTAGGACAGAAAACGTTTTCTATCTGAGGACTGTCTGACTTCCAGAGCAGAAGTCATGGGCCATTATGTATGTCAGTGTGGCATAAAAATTACAAATTACGTGATCGACGTGATCAGTTGTTCCAATCCATTTTTGTTGAGGCGTCTGTAGCTCCGTGGGGGCTGGTCGGAGACTCTGAGTGCGGTGAGACGACATCCCACTTTTAGAGTGTGGAGGCAGATCGGTATGGGACCTCACCTTCCATGCAGTATTTTTATCAAGAGCTCTCTTTATCAATATTGATATTTTAGAAAAGTCATTTCGTTCAACCTGTGTTTTAGAGAGAGGCAGTTTGTAATATTTTACGAATTACGAGGTGTCGGTGCCAACTAAGCGATAAACTTCATCCATCCTCAGTGGACATTTTTTCTCAGAAATGTAATAAAATGACGATTAAAATGTAACCGACGCAACCGTTTCCATGCTTTCCAAGCAAAGTGAACCGAGCGACTCTTGTAATTATTTGTACCCAGTGACACAACCAAACAACCTTAGTGCTGAACCCGTTCATACCTTCTCAGAAACAGGTTAAAGCACATCATCACAAATGGTTCTATTGTATAGCTGAAGATGCTTATCGTGTGTGAAGCGCATCCTCTAAGCTGGACAAAGAATGCACGCATTTGCTGTAAACGATTGGACTTGCATACTCTCGGTGGTGTAGTCCCAGTCTTAATGGCCGTGGCGGGGTATTGATTAAGAAATAAATGGCACATATAATACGTCCAGCTGTTGTGTGACATCCACCCATACAGAGTTCTTGTAACACACGAGTGACACATGGTGAAAATCATCACATTTCCAAAATAGCTGCAAGATTGAAAATCCAAACATTTAAGTAAAAGTTTGTCTAGTTAAGTATACATTTACATCAATGAGTGAAGCATGGCTCAGATCACAATATTTGTACATGTGAAATTTACAGCTGTTGTTGAAAGTGAGGATTTGCGATTTTCGGGAACACTTGGTGTCATCAATGATTTTCGATGATCTGTATATTTTTACCAATATTTTGCTATTTCCGTCCAGTGGAATCTATGTCAGGGGATAATCAAGACTGGACAGTGTGAATGTTTGTAAAGTGAGTAATTCCTAAGCGATTAGTACTTATCAGTTCAGTAGAAACGGCCTGCATAAAAACTTTAGTGAGATTGATGACGTGCCAGAGCTTTTGAAGAAAACTTGACGTAACTAGAAAGTACTCGAAGCAGCGAGAAATTGTTCGAAGCAAAGAGAAAACAATCGAAGCAACGAAATTGTAATTGAATTAAAGAGAAAGAAGTCGAAGGAACGAAAAACGCTCGAAATTTCAAGTTTTCGAGAAAATAATCGAAGTAACAAGAAAATAATTGAAATAAGGAGAAAATACTCCCAAGTATCAACAAAATAATCGAAGCAACGTGATAATATTTTATACATAACAACAAATGTGTCAGCATTAGGTTTTCATACACATGTCCATTCCATATTTCGAAAGCCTTGGCCAGTCACTGTGCTAAAAGTACCGGAAAGACCAATCTCACCAGGAACACTTCAAACGTCATAGATAAAAAAACCAAAACTGACTGGGTATGGTTTTATGCCGCCTTTAGCGATATTCCAGCAATATCACGGCGGGGGACACCAGACATAGGCTACACTCTGTACACTTTGTACCCGTCACATAGGCAAAAACACCGGTAGATGGATACAGATCTTGCACACAAATGCAACATTGACGCTTCAAAAGGACCAACGAGTTTTATTCTGGTTTTCTTATAACACATATGTTCCAGCATTGCAATGTGATTAACATTTATTAGCTCCTTTAGAAATAGCGTTAACTGAGATGTCACCTGCTTAGTACACTAGGTAAACCCATCTTTGTCCAAATGGTGATGGACTCTTGACTTTTATCCGCAGCTCACGGATCCCGACAGCAACCTCCTGGATCCAGAAGACCGGAAGTTGACGGTCCACATAGACTGGATCGACTCCCATCTGCTGGTGCTGCCCAACTACAACAGCCTCGATGACGTCACACGTCTACACAAGCAGCAGATGTGGTGAGTGGTTGACGACGCACACAGGGATCGTACATTACACTTCACACATTTCCATTCACGTAACTCAGTGTTTATTTTGTTACATGGTTTATGTCATCGAGCATTTGTGCGATGTAAAGATTAACTTCCACTTGTTTTTACGCATGTGAGAATAGTCTTCGTCCAGCTGTACATTTATGTCAGAAAATGTTTCAATCGTCTCACAAATCAATCCAGATAAATATCAATATTTAGGTGGGGACATTCTCAGACAACAGGTACCACATTGTATGTTCATCTGGTTTGTATTATTAAACATATATTCATTATATACAACAGATAAAAAGTTTACACTCACTAATGTACATGTAGCCACTTACTTCAGTCAACTGTTCTAAACTAGACATTGCAAAATATTCCATACTGTTTAAAGGCACTGTTTACACATGAACTGATGTCTTGTAAAACAAATTCGTAACGTTGAAAAGATTATTGTCATGAGTTCAATAAATTGGCGAATTCTCAGCAAAACTTTACACCCAAACGCAAATGTTCACATGCACAATATTTGCACATGCTTTCAGCAATTTAATGCATGACCGTCGTGCAATTCATCTTCTTAAGGTTTGCAGTTGGTTCCCCCAAGTTAGTTGAGAAATTCATCTTCGATGTAACCATTGGTAAAGACATAACATATAGTGAGTGGTGTAAGTCTAAACTTTGGATGGGTAGTATATACTGTAAAATACTGTCATGGCAATACGAAACACTCGGGTGTATATTTACGTAATAGCCATTAGTCATTTGTCATAGTACTGAACACCAGAGTATGATTCTGAACACTGAACATTAATTTATCATTTACTGTATCAACGAAGTGCATATTTTCCATTTCCGCGTGAAATATATCTTACATCTTCATGACAATTACAAAACGTTTTGAAATATAAACACATTTTTCTGCTACCACTTACAAATTGCCTTTCAATTGGATGGAAAACTAACGTCAGGAACTTCGATTTTTCATCAGTGCCAAGTATTTTCTGACCCCAGGTTGTCAAAGTGACACTAAAAACACTGATTGTATTATGTTCCCTTTAAGGTCTAACTAGACTAAAGCGTGGCCTGTCGTCTACAGAAATCTCTCATCCAAACATAACCTATAATCACTGAATATTGATGACAATAACCAAAGCCAAACGCCACCATACAGGTCTTAGTTCCGCTTGATATTATCGGCGTAAGCTACAAAATAAATATGTAGAGAATGCAATTCTTCATTCTTCTCGAGTTATGTAGCCAGGCTCAATAAATCTCAAATTTACATTCTAGTCCCTCACACGAGGAACGCTTCGCTATCCCTTTTCTGATGCTTTGATGACTGATGAAGAATAACGTCAGCAGACATTGCAAAATTTACAGAAAATTTGCTTTCCTTTGGGGTCTTTTGAGACCTTTAAACATAGCCCCCTGGGAAGTTCTTATGGCCCTGAAACAAATCTCGGCATTTTATAATATAATGTACACTATATTCCTTTACAAGCAAAACCACCCCCGCCATATAGCTGGAATATTGGTGAGTGCGGCGTAAAACTAAACTCCCTCCCTCTCTCTCTCTCTCTCTCTCTCTCTCTCTCTCTCTCTGACAGAATGATATAACGATTATAAAGTTTATAATAACACCCAAAAATGTTCATTTCAATAATGTTGGCTATGAATTATGAAATTATACTTTTAACATTTCAAAGGTTAGCATTTGTAGAGCTGACTGAAGTATCATGATAGTAATAATTATTGTACAGCAACATTAGTCAAGCACAATGTATAGAAAACACGCCCTGGACCTTGCTACATATGTGAACGCTAATAGCGGCAGGTAATATTTGTCAAAAGAAATGATTAACCACTGCTATAACAATACCATCTCCATATTTGTGAATTAATATTGAATTGTGAGCTTCAGTCTGGGTGTAGCAAACATGTAATACCGGTTGCAACTGTGACACCGAAGTTACTCCATCTTCTGAAGATAAAACCCAGTTGTAATAAATATTTATCACCTTTTCGAAGGAACGTGTTTTTACCGCAGAACTGCGCAGAGATACTGCTAATCCCTGTGCCACGGGCCAAGTCACTTAATATGTAGGCTAATCCCCAGAACATCATAAACATTATACCAGACACGATGTAATTATCTGCGCACAATACGAATGATTTGCTTGCCCCTCGTCTCTCCTTACTAGCCAATATGTTGACATTAACATCTGATATGGCTTATGACCATCAAAGAGAATAAACGAAGCTTTAAATGAACATTTGTTGGCGTATTTACAGGAGAGAGATTATGGCCCTCCAAGCTGAAAATTACGCCCTTGAGAAGCAGTTGTACAGTTACCAGCAGAGCATTGCCAAGACCAACTCCAGGGGAAGATACGATGTCGACCAGCTGAAACCACAGCAGTCAATATGATGGGTACAACAACGTCAATTATAGGATCCAAGATAAAACAGGGATTTGCTCGAGATACACCACGTTCTGTGATACGATTCAACACAAAGCACGTGTTTGATTGAAACGACAGCTTTACCTCTCCATAATCTGAAATACAGCAGTTAACTCTCCATAATCTGAAATACAATAACTCTGTAAGATGGAATGCAACAGTTTTAACTCTTTGTAAGATGGAATAGTTTTAACAGATATGAGTTTTAATCTCTGTAAGATGGAATGCAACAGTTTTAACTCTCTGTAAGATGGAATGCAACAGTTTTAACTCTCTGTAAGATGGAATGCAACAGTTGTAACTCTCTGTAAGATGGAATGCATCAGTTTTAACTCTCTGTAAGATGGAATGCAACAGTTGTAACTCTCTGTAAGATGGAATGCAACAGTTTTAACTCTCTGTAAGATGGAATGCAACAGTTTTAACGTTTTGAAAGATGGAATAAAACAGTTTGAACGCCATGTAAGATGGACCACAGCAATGTTAGTACACAGTAAAAAAAAACTGTTAACGTTCGATAACATAGAAAATATGAGTTATTGCTAGCATATTGGACAACTGGCATGCATGTCCATGTCTGCTTGAAACGCGAATAAAACTGTCAACTTCTGATGAGAGAGAGTATGTTTTGCTTATAGCACTGAGGACAATGTCAGTCTGAAAACGAGAAACAGAAGTTTGACCCTATGTAACTCTGTACAGGAACAGCGTGCATCTAGGATGTTGACAGGAACGGAAGCAGAAACTTCATAATTTTACATGTGAATAGAAAGTGTAAATGATGTTTGCAGGAACGGAAGCAGAAACTTCATAATTTTACATGTGAATAGAAAGTGCAAATGATGTTTACAGGAGCGGAAGTAGACACTTCATAATTTACATGTGAACAAAAAGTGTAAATGATGTTTACAGGACCGGAAGCAGACACTTCATAATTTTACCTGTGAACAGAGAGTGTAAATGAGGTTTACAGGAGTGGAAGTAGACACTTCATAATTTTACATGTGAATAGAAAGTGCAAATGATGTTTACAGGAGTGGAAGTAGACACTTCATAATTTAACATGTGAATAGAAAGTGCAAATGATATTTACAGGAGCGGAAGTAGACACTTCATAATTTTACATGTGAATAGAAAGTGTAATTGATGATTGCAGGAAAGGACACTTCATAATTCTACATGTGAACAAAATTATGTAAATAATGTTTACAGTAAAGGATGGAGACACTCATTATTCTACATGTAAACAAAATTATGTAAATAATGTTTACAGGAACGGAAGGAGAGACTCCTTAATTCTGCATTTGAATAGGAAATGTAAACATGCTTTACAGGAACGGAAGTAGACACTTCATAATTCTGCATGTGAACAGAACGTGTAAATGATGATTACCGAAACTAAAGGTCAACACCACATAACCCCACACAGGAGAAGCGTGTGTCAGTGATGTTTACATTAAGATGGAGCGTTAGCGGTGTCCTTATAGTGAGGATTCCACTCTTATGATAAACATGGTTATAATTTTACCAGCATATGATGTAATTACAAGTCGAGACCCAGTCCTGATTGTGCTGTGTGTGATAGATTAGATACATGACAGTATTTAATGTCTGTACATCAATGACTAGGCCACGAATATGACACTCATTATGACACCCCCCGCAAAGGGCCTATGCTACCATACGTAGGTATTCATCAGCGGGATGCAAGAAACGCGATCATTATTGCTGACTTACCAATTACAACTGTTCATTGTGTGTATCGTGTGAACATTTAGCGAAGGGTGTATGTGGGATTTTCAAAGGTCACGAGATCCATTTAAGAATATGTACATTGATTTGGTTTCATATGTCACCGTTGGATATGTGCAGACACAGCTAGCGTGTGTTGTGTGGTGGTTCCTATGCAGTTTGCCCCATTATCTGTTCGTGAGTGTCATCAAAGTTGTAAATGAAGATCTCCTATCGGAGACCAATACCATTTGTACTGTTCTTATGGTGCTGTAATGGCATTGTCTCAATGACAGACATGCATCACATTATTGTGTCTTGAACAGAGTTTAGCTTGGCGTTTTTCCACTCCTATAATTGTTTTAACTTACCTGTGTGTAGACAATTGGCACGCAGCTCTTGAAGTCTGGTTCTGTTCTAATCGACTTCTTGACTGTGTCAGTAGATGTTTTCAATAGACACATGGTAACGTAATTGTAACAAACTCCCATGAACAGTCCATTGGAACAGTCAACACGACATCATTTACCCTGAAATGCGTGTATAATTCCTACAGAATACGTATTTCAAATGACTTAGACTCAGATCGGATTTCAGAAGCGTTACTTATAACTTCGGAATATCTAAATGGGAAAGGTGACATGTTAATAATCTACAAATCTAACTAGGCGTAGTTGCTTAAAAGTTCTTCGTGTTGAAAACTACATTTAATAACTATCACTTTCAGTTTTCTCCAGATTAATTTTCTAAATATCGTCTCGAACATAGCATCTCATGCCTGTTAGACTGCATATGACATCCATCCGCCAGCGACTTTCAGCTTAAAGCAGCTGAACGCTGACACACATTTCGGTCATTCTACCATATTCTGTCACAACCAGGGGATAACAACAGGTCAGCTTGTTGAAGTTTTCCATATTGTTGGATTTAGAGTATGGGTCGTAGTAGCCCAGGATTAGCTGAATTTTTAATCTTTAAGCTGAAAGCTTACTTCCTTTATCAAGTTGCATCCCCCAGACAAATAACGCGTTGACACGTACAAGTATAAACTAAAATGTCTATGTTAAATAATAGAAGTTACCCCATTCGTGCTTTTCGTTCAAAAGTTCGTGATATCTCTATTGATTCATATGTATGATATGCTGACGTCCTGCATTGAGAATTGCAATGATCAGTTATGCAATTGGTGGATAGTGTAAATGTATTTTGAACTGGCGTTCAATCCACCAGATATGTTTTCCTTAATTGGTGGATAGTGTAATTGCATGCCGAAATACATCTGAATAGGAAACTGGTGTACAATCCACTAGATTTGTTTTTCTTAATAGCCCATTAATAATTGCTAAAAGCCTATTAATTTAAGCTTTTCTCAACTCCATGTTCATTAGGACAACTCTGTATGTCCACCTGTGTAGATTTCCTCTCGTATGTGGCTGTGATGTACAGAATGATTACCGCACTCATGCCTATCAAATACCATTTATCTAACAACGAGTTGTTTCAAAACGTATCTAACGAGCGAAAGCGAAACACCGAGCGCTAAAACAACTGGCATATCACAGACACGAATGCAGTAATCTGTTTCTTACAGACTCTAAACTCATATATTTCGTCGATTCTCATCATCACAGTGGCGCATTATTATAAAGTACAACAGACATTTATGACGCCATCTGACTGCTTACTACTTATAACTAATGTGATACTCCACACTAACGTCCAGTTAATCTATATCATAAAGTAGATGAGACCACAGAAGATGTAATCGCAACATAAAGCCATACATTTTCAACACAGACAAAAAGGTATCAGTACATTGCATTCTGGAAAGTACTTCATCATTGCGCAACTACCCACGGACCAGGATTGATTCCCAAACACATGTTTAATACCAGTTATCTCACAATGGTTTCTCACCCGTAGGCGTGTAAACAATGTTATTCTGGAACTGCATTTAAATTACCGGCTCGAGTATGACTTTGGCGCAGTAGTTCTGTGTAGTATTATGATGTTTTATTGCTCATTGAGGAACATTGTGATAATGTTTTGCCATGTGTTCACGTCCAACCTTTTAGGGTCAAATGGATGTTTTCAATTTTTCATTGTTTGAAAGTTTGTTGCAGTATCGATATTTTTTAATGCATTTTATAATACTCCTTGTGTATAATAGGGTCATACTATGCTATTGTTTTATCTCCCAATTAGCCATTTATGACATCTTTATGTGATACCAGTTTTGTTGATTCGAGCAGGCACATGATGTAATGGTTGTGAATGTGACACAATAAATGTTTCTTTACCTAATTAGCATTTGTTTTTAGTTCCGAATTCTCTATGAAATGAAGGAAAACCAAGTTCTAAGGATAGTCAACTTCTTTATTGCAATGAGTGCGACGTTGCAGTGTAGGTACGTCTCACTCATTGCAATAAAGAAGTTGACAATTCATATAACTTGGTTTTCCTTCATCTTGACAACTTCTAAAATGCCTCTCAAAGATGTTCTCTATGAAACGTTCTCACAGGTCCTTCCATATAAGTGCGACTCCCAGAGCTACAGGGACCAACCCTTACTGCATTGTTCTCTCACAGGGTCCTACCATATTAGTGCGATTCCCAGAGGTACAGGGACCAACCCTTACTGCATTGTTCTCTCACAGGGTCCTACCATATTAGTGCGACTCCCAGAGCTACAGGGACCAACCCTTACTGCATTGTTCTCTCACAGGTCCTACCATATTAGTGCGACTCCCAGAGCTACAGGGACCAACCCTTACTGCATTGTTCTCTCACAGGGTCCTACCATATTAGTGCGACTCCCAGAGCTACAGGGACCAACCCTTACTGCATTGTTCTCTCACAGGTCCTACCATATTAGTGCGACTCCTAGAGCTACAGGGACCAACCCTTACTGCATCGTTCTCTCACAGGTCCTATCCTGGTGACGTTATACACGAGCAGTTCCTTACCGTCCCCGGGCATGAGTTATATTCCACCAGGGCAAGAAACCAATGTTCAACGATTCCCCTAATGTCCCAAAAACATTAATCCCACGGTATATCGCGCTCTTATTCCCAGTAACACTGTAACTGAAAGCTGAAAATTTTTCATCGTCTTGGGTAATGCTGACATAGGTTGAATTCGAGTCAGGCTGATGCACAGAATACGATCTGAACTTGAATCCACAGCACATGACACATATCACGCTTCTAATTGAAATTGCTGCGTCGATATTTCCTTCTTCTAACTGAGAAGAGAAAACCTTTTATAGGCTTGAATGAATGACAGGAATGTGATTGACACTTATTTAAAGAGCTGGACGATATACAATTATTAATTGCACCGTATAGCATATATTGTAGGGATTGCCGTGGTAAAGGTGTAGGCTCGTCACACTGAAGAACTTTGACATTATTTTAAGCCTATTTCCTTGTTCCACTTGCACTTTCACTAATTTATTTGATTATACAGTCTCTTTTCCCAGGGTTAAAGTTACAGAGGCAAAAGTAACATAAAATTGCATACGTTTTGTTTCTGGACAAATTGCTTAAAACTTATATACAATGTACATTTAACCACATAGAGGTCACATTCAACGTAAAACATAACTTTACAGATTCTGATACCTTTCGGTATGGACCTACAGTAAAAACGTATCAAAAATGCAAATTCACTTTATAATGTTGAAAAATAACGCGTTGAAAAAAGCGCCGCTGCGGTGAAAAGTGGTTGCAACAACTGTGCTGCGCTGTGCCCATAGCGCATGCGCAGTGATTAGGTTCGCGCGACTTGAACCGGGAAGGCGACTCGTAAAAACACAGCAAGTGATGCGTGCAAGGATTATCGCTGTGGTCGAAGTTGGAGAACAAAAGATGTTTCTTGTAGTTACAAGCATCTTGAGTCTGCAATAATAAAACTACTCTTGTCCCATACTTTCTCTTATATATTTTCACATCTTGCTTTTTGGGGGTTGGCAGATTTGCAAACCAAGTTTTCAAGAAAGTGTAACCTTAGAAATACTTATTTCAGTGTTACAAATTGCTCAGTTTGAAACTGAAATGTTTTAATACTTGTATATAAAAGTATAGAAAAATATGTTGATTGTGATAAGCAGTCTCTGTCACAGACAAAACTCAATGTCTGTTTCATGGACACCTATGTGTCTGCCTGCCTGTCTGCTAATGACAATATGCAGTACACAACTTCGATCACTGACCACATGCAATTTGAACTTAACACCTATCAGGTTATACACCATAACCAAAATACATTGATTTATGGCTCGTGCACCTGAGTTCTGTCTCTGTCACATTATGTAATTACACAGACAGGCAGGTCTGATACCTGTACACATGACATGACGTTATTATGTCTGTGGGTTGAAAACAAACTGCATCCATTTTTCTCGGATGACTGGATCTGGCGGAAACCGGTGCAAACTCAGATTGTCAGTTTCAAGTCCTGCTTTGTACTTGGACGAACGACAGTTTCCAGCCACGCAGTAGTTCACCACCTCAGTATTTGTTGATTGGATCGAACGCAAATGCAGAAAAAAATAGCATGTATTTACAAAACCCAACATCTCTATATACACACACAATGAGCCCCAAGCGTATCGGCAAATAAACCAGCCAATGAAAGCCTTCGTTACATTTGAGTGCACACCCACCCGCTCTGACTGGGTTCTGTCTCCCGGGAGCTTCGTTTCGAGGCAAAATATTGCACTTTTGATTTGCGATTGTACGCTTATAATTTTTGTTTATTTGTTTTTGTCATAGTCAGCAATGTATATAATATGTCATGAATAAGTGATAATTGTGTTTTAAGTAGGGGGTGCAACCATGCAGGTGGGCCACGATACGATACATATCTCGATACTGCTGCCACGATTCGATATGAATCGCGATACACAAAATAAAAAGAATAACAAAATATCAGCATACAACCTTTTATTTGAATTGAAGAAGAAATCTTCAATCAGAGTTAGTAAGCTGTTCCAATTCTCTTGTACCTGAAAACAATTACTTTTGTTTTAAAATTAAAAGTAAACACTAAACAAATCTGTTACTGTAACAGCAGTCAGCTATCTGGATATTCTGAAATAAACTTTGACACTTTCAAGGAATCTGAAAATCTGACTAACACAACATTGTCAAACAGACAAATGGTTACACACTCTTTTTCAGTGTGCTTCATGCATCATAATTCTGTTACAATTACAGTTTCATATTTTTTTTTAGGAAAATCAGAACATCAACATTTTCAGCTGAAAGTGAAGCACGTTGAGCAGTGACAATATCCCCAGCTGAGGAAAATACTATCTCGCTGGGGACTGAAGTAGCACACACACCCTAGGTACTGCTTCACAAGACCGGCAAGGGCTGGGAATCTGACTGCGTTCATCTTCCACCAAAGCAGGGTTTTCACTTAATGAAATACATTCCTTAAGCTTGTATTTCTGCACCTCTTCCTCAATGGAAGCAGAAAGTGGCTTTGCCTCTTGCACATATGTAATGAACACCTCCCCAAATATCTCCTCAATTGCACTTTTGGTTTTCTTAGGTTGTGATGGGCCTGGTGTCTCAGAGTCAGAAACAGAGTCTGAAGTGCAAGTCTGTGTCCCACCAGTCTCAGTGTCATGACACTCAGGGGGCTGACTGTCGGTTAGAGGCAATACAGGTAGGGGGGGCTGTGCTATCGCTTCATCTGTGGGATGACTCGGTTCCTCCTTCACTCTCACTGGAGCCAGTTCATCCTGAAAGAAGAATTATAACAGTTCAACCTACAGCTAAAATGTCTAAAGTGATATTTGAAATGTAGCATGATTAATTGATCATAATACACTGTTGAAACGTTTTTACCATTCAGAATTTAAATCATTTTGTGTAATAAAAAAATAAAATATTCAGAAACAAATTAAGATGAAGTTTTGTTGTTTGAAACACCTTTTTCTGTGGAATTTTTGTTTCAAATGTTTAAAGCATTAATTAATTACATTTACAGTATTTTAATTATTCAATTGTTGAACTGTTTATTTACCTTGTTTGCTTCTGCCATCTTGATCGCATTCATGGTCAGGGCACTGAATACAAGAAGCCGGTTGGCTTCATTGTGGTAGGGTAGTGATCGAAACCTGGGGTCAAGGGCAGTTGCTTCCTGTAGAAATTTGTTGATGTCAGGCTCAGTATATCTGGTCTTCAGATCTTTGACAATTGCCGACTTCACAGACTTGACAAGGCCAGAATCACTTTCAGTGACAGCCATGGATTTCAGAATAAGCTCCTTTAATGGTAGAATCAAGGAAACTGTGGGCACTTTCTCTGAACAGAGGATTGTTGTTACTGTCTTCAATGGTCGAAGAACATTTACCGCATCTTCTACTGCGCTGACATCTTCCTCTGACAGAGTAACAAGGGTGTCTGCATTTTTCCTGATATCCATCACTGTGAGAGTGGCAAAGATTGCAGCTTGCTGCTCGAGATATCGCTGAAGCATGTCGTAGCTAGAATTCCATCTCGTAGGAACATCTTGGATCAGTTTGTGATCGGGCAATTCAAGAAGTAACTGTTTTGACCTGAGAACAGATGCAGCATGTGAGCTTCTGTGAAAGAATGAAACTATTCTTCTCACTCTCCCCAAAATTCTGGACATCTGCGGCACCTGCATGGCTTTTTGGCTTGCTATGTTAATTGTGTGCGCAAAGCACCTTATATGAGGTGCAAATCTCGACTGCTTTACAGCACTAACAATATTGCTAGCATTATCTGTGCTAATGGCAATCTGAGAAAATTTGCCTAAGTTCCATTCGTCAACAGCTGATTCCAGGACATTAGCCAGGTTTGCCCCAGTGTGGCTCTCATGTAATGTTCGTGTTTGAAGCACCGGATTTTCAAGTTGCCAGTCTTCGTTAACATAGTGAGCCGTGATGGTAACATGGCTCTCGGTGGAACGTGAGGTCCAACCATCAGTAGTGACAGCCATTGATGATGCACGAGCAATACTTTCCATCACACTTGATTTTACTTTCTTGTACATTTCAGGTATCACATAATTCGTGAAGTGGGTTCTCGATGGGATTTCATATCTCGGTTCAAGTGTGTGGATGAGGTACTTGAAACCGATGTTCTCTACAACTGAATTAGGTCGCATGTCCATCGCAATGAATGTACCAATTCCATTTGTTATTGCTTGCGCCCGTGTCGAACGAGACGACAGTTTGGTCTTGAAAGCCTCACTAAGTCTAAGTTGACCTGCTAACGATGTGCGTTTCTTATCGTCAGAAATGTTCAAAGGTTTTGAACATTTTG